TTTAGGACCTTTGGAACATCCAAGAGGATGTTTGGTGATGTTGACGGAATGTCCACATGGTTGGAAAGACAAGGAAACCAAAGGAAAAGCAAGGGGAAAGCCATGTTACAAGGTAGTGAACTTACCTATACTGTGTGCTTGATATGTATGCTTGCATGATGTGATTGTGTTGCCATGATGTGACTAAGCTATGATGAAATGTTTGCAAAGTTATGTTTGCAAGTTTATGTTATATTTTGCCTTGGCAATATGTTATGGAAGCATGAAATGCTTTAGCTTACTTTCCATGGCATTCATGTGTTGATGTTATAACATGTCATGCATGTGCATTATGTCTTGCATGCTTATGGGTAGTGTTTGCTACTAAGATTCTCCCGAATCTCACCCCTCCCTAACCAACCAATTAGGTCAGTCAATGATGGGCAATAATGGCATGAGAAGCAAGGAGAAGTAAGCGGAGAATTATTCTTGTTAATGGATGAGACTGTTGATATATGTATAATTCTACTATTTTGTGAACTATGTTATGGATGCCAATGATACCATGTATTTAATTATAATATTTATGGCATAAATGAAAGTGTATGAGCATGAACGGGAAAGAGTAAGGCCATGTTATGTATGCCAAAGAAATAAAAAGAATTAAAGAGATGTTAAGGGATAAAACGTAAGTCTTGGAGCAGTGAATTTGTAGCTCAGTTTGACCTATCAAACGAGTGAGTTAGGTCATAAGATTTGGCAAGCAAAGAGATCTGATGTTTCTATTTAAAATGAGGGGTAGTTTGCCCGATTCCGATAACCGAGCAGAAAGTTATGCCTTTCCAAAGTTAGGCAAAAATACAGTAAAATCCGAAAATGACCAAATGAACAGTAACTTTTTCAAAGGAAATTGAGCTCGAATTTCAAGGCAATCAGTTCAGAAACTATTTTTCCTCAAAATTTTATCCAAAGAGCTTTCTGTAGAACTTGGAATCACTCAATTTCAATTTTTCTACAATTAGTTATGAATTTTCGAAGTTTGTCACATTTTAAGGTGACAATGAATAGTAACCCGTAAATGAAAATTTTCAAACTTGATTTTTCATCAATTGTAGCCTTCAAAAGTGATTCCAAATGCTTCCGCAAGGAAAGTTAATTGGTATAAATATAAGGTGTTACAGTTAACATGGAGAAGGAGAGTGATCAAGGATTATTGCATCCAGCTAGTCAAGCCACCAGTTTTGATCCAGAAAATTTAACTCACCCGGTATGTGGACTTGGAGGCTTAATGGAACTTCTTTTTTTTTTTTTGCTGTTGCTTAGAGATTGAAGTTTTGAATATAATTTGTGTAGGAGATCAAGAGAACATATGCCCGATTAGTGTCAATGCTGGGAGAAGAAATGATGTCCCTTCAGTCAAGACTAATGAAGGACAGTGATAATGTAAGTGAGGAGGAGAAAGATGAGGAGGAAGAACCTGAGTCAGAGGAAGAGGAAACTGAAGAGGATGGAATTGAATCGGAAGATGATAAAAATCAAGAAGAAGAACAAGAAATTCAATCTGAGAAGGACATGGGTGGAGAAGAAAACAAAAGAGAAGAAGAGGATGAGGAGGAGAAAAAGCAAGAAGAGGACAAAGAAGATGAAGAAAATAAAAGAGAAGAGGCTGAAGAGGAAAAAGATGATGAAGAAGGAAATAGAAAAGAACAAGGGGATGAAGAGGACAACCAAGGGGAAGGGAAAACATATGTGAGAAAATCAACAAGGGTGATAAGTAAGGGTAAGGCTCTTAGGTCTCCATTTCTGGAAATCAAAAGTAAGCCTGGGAACAAGAGAACAATTGATGACAGGCAAGCTTTATTTGACATGTGTACAGCTAGGTGTGATGAAGAGGAGCAAAAGCAGTAAGTATTATGTTTTGGTGTCCAAATTTATATTATGTTGCAGAATTTACTGACTTCATAATTGTTTTATTTGCATTAGATACTTTGTATCGATGTATGGATATTTCCTAACCCGTGGTGAGCTGCAATGTCTCCAACGTAGAAGATGGATTAACGATAGGGTAAGTCACATGTATATAGTTAACATTAGAATGAGTTATTTGATGGTAAAGAGTTGTAATTTCTTTGTATTGTAATTTCAGTTTATGACTATGGTGGCAAAGACGTTTGTTGGAGATCAAAAGGATAAAGAGGGGAGGGTGAACCGGCATATATTTTCTGCGGATTTCATGCAAAAGATGGTAGCCAATCCTTTAAGATGGAAATGGGAGGACCATGAAAGGGAAATATTACCTAAATATATTGGGTACAACATAGGGGATTGCGATTTCCTTTTCGGTCCTACGTTATTTGAAGATCATTGGTTTTGTTATGTTTTGGAGACAAAGACCATGACCTTCTACACCCTTGACTCCTTGGTTGATAGCATCACGTTTATGAGACTACAAGCAGAGGAAGAAGAAGCAAAGAAGAAGGGGGTGAGCAGCAACATGATGTGAAGAAGAAAAAGAGGACAAATAAAGGCCACTTCAATCCCAAACACTTTATGGCAACACAGACTGTGTGTAGTTATTTGTTGCTGTTATACTTGTCGATGACTACTCTTATAGTTGTCACTAGCAGCCTGCGTAGTTGTCATTGCATGCTCTGTTAGTTGTTACTGGATGCTTTGTTAGTTGTCATTGCATACTCTGTTAGTTGTTAGTGGATGCTCTGTCCCTTGTTAGTAGATGCTGTGTTAGTTGTCACTACATGCTATGTTAGTTGTCACTGGATGCTGTGTTAGTTGTTACTGGATGATCTGTTAGTTGTCACTGGATGCTCTGTTAGTTGTTAGTGGATGCTGTTATTTGTCACTGGATGCTCTGTCCCTTGTCACTGGATGCTGTATTACTTGTCACTATATGCTCTGTCCTTTGTCACTGGATGCTGTATTACTTGTCACTATATGCTCTGTCCCTTGTCACTGGATGCTGTATTACTTGTCACTATATGCTCTGTCCCTTGTCACTGGATGCTGTGTTGTTAGTAAAGCCTTTTGATTATGTGTATTTTTTTCCAGATGAACTGTTTCCATACGATGTTGCGTGCTGTTAAGCCAGAATTGTTTGCCAATGAGGAGAAAATTGACAACGAAGTGAAATGGGCTAAAGTTTATGTGCAGAATGATACGTAAGTGTAATTCTTCTGTTTGATTGTGTTATGTTGTGTTTGTTCACAATAAAAATTGCATGCTACTTACATATTGAATTTGCTTGGCAGTGATTCATGTGGAGTTCATGTCCTCTCTTGGCTACAAGAGTGGGATGGCACTGCTCGTGATACTGCAGGATATACCATGCCACGATACTCCAATGATGAATTGCAAGAGTTGAAGGTTGGCTGTTTGTGGTGGTTGGTTACCCATCCCCATAATGAACATAGGGATGAAGTGATGTCACTGCTATCGGACTATAACAAGAGCAAGAGAAGGAGATAGAGGAGTTAATTAATTTTTTGTTATGTTATGCCAAGATGTGTTGTGAGATGATTGGCACCTAAGGGTGTAAGCCATGAGTGGCAATACCTTAATGGTCAATAGGTCCTTTTGTAACAAACTGATCAAATTATGTTTATAATATTATTACCTTTGTTATTAGATGTTATGATACCAATTTCTTGGGCACAAGTCACATTTTTATTTTTGTTATTTTATATCTTTATTGATATCGATAAATTTATGTAATATTAATAAGTAATATAACATGAGTTAATAACAAGTGATATAACAAGTTATGTAACCATTAACAACTCACATTGGCACCAATGACAAGTCCGTGTGCCACTATTGACAAGCCATGGTGCCACCAATGACAAGTCAGTGTGCTACCATTGACAAGTCACAGTGCAACCATTGACAAGTCACATTGCCACCAATGACAAGTCCGTGTGCCACCAATGACAAGTCCGTGTGCCACCAACGACAAGTCATAGTGCCACCAACGACAAGTCATAGTGCCACCAACGACAAGTCAGTGTGCCACGAACGACAAGTCAGTGCGCCACCATTGACAAGTCATAGTGCCACCAAGACAAGTCAGTGTGCCATGAACGACAAGTCAGTGCGCCACCATTGACAAGTCATAGTGCCACTAACAAGTCAGTGTGCCACGAACGACAAGTCAGTGCGCCACCATTGACAAGTCATAGGGGCACCATTGACAAGCCACATTGGCACCAATGACAAGTCCGTGTGACACCATTGACAAGCCATGGTGCCACCAACGACAAGTCAGTGTGCCACTATTGACAAGTCATAGTGCCACCAACGACAAGTCAGTGTGCCACGAATGACAAGTCAGTGTGCAACCATTGACAAGTCATAGGGCCACCATTGACAAGCCACATTGGCACCAATGACAAGTCCGTGTGACACCATTGACAAGCCATGGTGCCACCAATGACAAGTCAGTGTGCCACTATTGACAAGTCACAGTGCCACCATTGACAACTCACAGTGCCACCATTGACAAGTCTTAGTGCCATGATTGACAAGTCACTATGCCACCATTGACAAGTCACAGTGCTACCATTGACACTTCATTAATAATGATTATATATGACAATATAACCAAAAATATAATATGACACAGTGATTGAGAATATCGTATGTTACTAAAACAAGTTATGTAACTTGAATTCATATTGTTGACAACTTACATCAGCAAATTAATTGACAAGTGACAGTGCTCCGTTGACAAGTCATAACAGGTCTAATGACAATACAAGGTGCAGGTAATGACAACTTAAATGACAGCAGAATCTAACATGCCAATTCATAGTCAACTTTCATTTACACCTTCATATACATGAAACTACACCTAATTCACAACCCATCCCAAAAAAACATAGGGGTTGCATGTAATTACGAGAAACTAACTATTGGTGTGTATCCATTTACAAAAAATTCCCTTCACACCCATTTACAAAATATTCCCTTCACATTCATATACAAAAAGAGCTGATTTCATTATGTTCTCATATGGGATTTGGGTTCTTGCATGTCTTGGCAGTGTGTCCAGGCTCTTTGCATCTTCCACAATGATAAACCTTCTTATTTTGAAACTGAGATTCTATTCTATTAATCCTTGGCCTTCCTGGAGGCCTTCTAGTTATGGGTGGATGCAAGAATGTTTGAGTCAGCATATGAGTCACAGTAGGCGCATCCGGCTGTGGGCAATCATGCGTTGCAATTGGCCTCATGCTATTTTCATATATTTTCTCCTGTGTGGACAATTTATAACAGTCATCTATATAATCATACACGCTACGGTGAACTAGCTTGATTGCTGCACATGCATGTGGACAAGGTATTCCACTCATTTGCCATGCCAAACATGTGCATCTATGAGAAATAAGATCAACAGTCACATAGATGATGCGTCCCTCACGCATTGTTTGCACCGAAATATGGTCATCACCATAATATGTTGCCTCCATATACGCACCTCTTGCTATTTGTTCCGACAACTTTGATTCAATATTAGGCCCTATACCATTTTTCCAGCTTCTCATCCCCATTTTGCTAGCAACCATCTTCTTGGCCAACTTCTCTTGATGCTCTTGTATCAAAACCGGCAAGGCATGCTTCCTTTCTTTTAACATCCATGCATTAAAAGACTCAACAAGATTATTGGTGATGTTATCCCATCTCTTAAAAGGAAATTTACTTTGCGCCCATCTATCACATCCCCATCAGATTCAACCCATTGTGCCAATTGTGGACAAAACAATCTTAAATTTCCCATTGCAACATTAAACTCATTGTCATGCCTTGCATATGCAATTCCATCAAGTAAATTAAGTGCGTTCTCCTTGTTATTTTCTGAGGTCCGTCTCACACCTCTATTGATTTTCACATACTGCGCACTATAATTTTCTTTCACATGTCGATAGCAAAAAGCATGTCTCTCACCATCAAATACTGTCCTAACAGCACCGATGATAGCATTACTCCGATCTGAGACAATTGTCACTTGTGCTGATCTGGTTATCTCCTTCAAATTCTGTAGAAACCAAGTCCACTCATCAATTGTTTCTCCGCTAACAATACCATATGCTAAGGGAAACAACTCATTGTCTGCATCAAATGCACAAGCAGATAATAAAGTTCCTTTGTAAGGACCACTCAAATGACATCCATCTATATAAATAATTGGTCTACAACCTTGCACAAAGCCTTTAACTGAGCATCCATATGCAATGAAGAGCCTCTCAAATCGGTTGCTATCTGAGCCTTCCCATCTTGCAACTGTGTCAGGATCAGTTTCCATGAGTCTCTCACACATCCAAGGGATTACCTTATAAGAATCTTCTACTCGACCATGTAATTCTGTTAGTGCTCTCTTCCTGACCCTATATGCTTGAGTATAGTTCAATTGCACTCCATATTCTTTATACAAGTCCTTTCTAATTTCATTAGGACTCTTGTCAACATTGCACCTCAAGTCATCAATGACAATTGAAGCAGCTAAATTTGACCTTCCTGAGTGGGAAACAATTAAGGTGTCCTGTGCATGATGAATGTGTTCACTTTTGTATGTTCTGATAGTTAAAAACTCAGTATCTTGATGTGCTCCCATTGAATATGCACCCATATACCATGGACAACCATCAACCTTGCACTTCACAATGATCTTTTGCTGATTATTCTTAATAAAAAGGTATGAAAACTTCTGGGATAGGCTGTACTTGTATAATGTTTCTCGAAGAGCAGTGGCATTTGGAAATATTTGTCCTTCTCCAATAATCAAATCCTTCCATTTTGTGGAATTCATTTGTGGTGTAGGTGTTGGGATCATTTCAACAGCACAAGGAATTGATGATGGCTCCCCAATCACATCAAATGAGGTAGGTGGAGACATAGACAATTCATTGACACCTCCAAATGATTGATCAATCCTGCAGGAAATGACAAGTCAGGGTGCATGCATTGACAAGTTGATAGCAAGACAGTAACAACTGACATACCAAGAAATGGCAATAACAGATTTCTTAAACTAAACTTACACATCTTGCTCCTCCATTGTATTATCCCTTGTTGCTTCTGTGTGGTCCTTATTTCCAGTCTCTTCTACATACACATGACCGCTTTCTTCATTGAACTTTATCAAATGTTCCACCCCATCATCATCTACCAACTCCACAAAAGTTTTTTTATCAAACACAACAGAGAATTTCAGAAGAAATGAGTTGCTTTCTTTTCCAGTAAATGATGATATAATCTCCTTCAATTCTTCATAACTTGTGCCCTCCTTTACATTGGTTGTTCTTACACTACCTCCCACATATCTCATATTATCTTCTCCATCATTTATAAACTTTCACCCTATGTGAACAAAGCAAAATAGATGTTTTCTAGACGTAGTCGCCATCAGTAACTTAAACCTGCATCAACCAGCACGCAACTGTCATTGACAACTTAAGGAGCTACATTGACAAGTGTAGGGGCACACATTGACAACAATCGCGGCCTGATTGACAACACAATCCCATTTCGTGCTAAGGGTTTCTACCCTCACTAACCTTCATCTTTTTCTTCCTTTGCCACTAAACTAATGTCAGAACAGAGGAAAACCACCCAAAAACAACCCAAAAACAGAGCACCTATTATCATTCTACACACCCAACTTAAATCACAACACACACCAACCAAAAACACAACTTTTCCATTCATTAACTTCTGAATCCTAAACCAAAAACAAAAGCTTTGAAATACCATCAGTAACTTAAACCTGCATCAACCAACACGCAACTGTCATTGACAACTTAAGGAGCTACATTGACAAGTGTAGGGGCACACATTGACAACAATCGCGGCCTGATTGACAACACAATCCCATTTCGTGCTAAGGGTTTCTACCCTCACTAACCTTCATCTTTTTCTTCCTTTGCCACTAACTAATGTCAGAATAGAGGAAAACCACCCAAAAACAACCCAAAAACAGAGCACCCATTATCATTCTACACACCCAACTTAAATCACAACACACACCAACCAAAAACACAACTTTTCCATTCATTAACTTCTGAATCCTAAACCAAAAACAAAAGCTTTGAAATACCATCAGTAACTTAAACCTGCATCAACCAACACGCAACTGTCATTGACAACTTAAGGAGCTACATTGACAAGTGTAGGGGCACACATTGACAACAATCGCGGCCTGATTGACAACACAATCCCATTTCGTGCTAAGGGTTTCTACCCTCACTAACCTTCATCTTTTTCTTCCTTTGCCACTAACTAATGTCAGAACAGAGGAAAGCCACCCAAAAAACCCAAAAACAGAGCACCCATTATGATTCTACACACCCAACTTAAATCACAACACACACCAACCAAAAACACAGCTTTTCCATTCATTAACTTCTGAATCCTAACCAAAAACAAAAGCTTTGAAATACCATCAGTAACTTAAACCTGCATCAACCAGCATGCAACTGTCATTGACAACTTAAGGAGCTACATTGATAAGTGTAGCGGCACACATTGACAACAATCACGGCCTGATTGACAACACAATCCCATTTCGTGCTAAGGGTTTCTACCCTCACTAACCTTCATCTTTTTCTTCCTTTGCCACTGAACTAGCATCAGAACAGAGCAAAACCACCCACAAGCAACTCAAAAACAGAACACCCATGATTATCCTACACACCCAACTTAAATCACCAACACCCACCAACCAAAAACACAGCTTTTCTATTGATTAACTTGTAAATCTCATTTCCAAAACCACCCACAAGCAACCCAAAAACACAAAAATGATTTTTTGATTTCCCATTTCCAAACAAAAGCACAATCTGTCAAGAAAGGTAGGAGAGAAGAGGAAAGAAAGTTTCACACCTGAAAGTTTGTGGAGATTCACATGGAAGCTCTTTGGAGTTCACTAATGGTAATAGAGAGGATATTTCATCATCAATGGCTCCTTCCCTATTTCCCAATGTCTTCTTTCTCAAGCATATTGCGCGAGAAGTCTCACCCAAAATGAAATGCTGCTTCTTCGTTTCTGATGGCTTAGGGCAGGGCAAGAGAGTAATTTACAGATTCTGAAAATTGCATCTAAGTCCCTTTGGAACTTCAGAAAAATTATGACATTTCAAGGGACCTTTTTGCTGTATTTTGGCTTCTGTGGGACCTCAATGTCATTCTCCCAAAAAAAAGAACTTTCTCACGTGCTTTGTGAACTTTCTCTCGGGGCCAACGACTCATTCTCCTCTATAAAAGTAATGAGGTTTATGATTGCTGGTGGTTGTCAGCGCTTCGATGTGGCCACTAATGGCTCTAAGGTGGTTGTCGGGGCTTATGCTTCTTGGTTTTCTACTTTCTAATGCTTTTTATTTGATTTTTGAATCTGAGTTTTAAATCAAGCTGTGTTTTTAGTTTAATTTGTGGGTTCAATTACTTATTTGCTTTCTCTTGAGGGGGTTTTGATTTTATACATTCCAATTGTGGTTTTGATTTTTGCTTCTCAAATCATAGTGTTACCTGTGCTGATTGTGATGAAGTAGATGATCATAGCTACTCTAACGGAGATCTGGAGAAGAGGGGCCCACATAACCTTTTAGTAAAGGAAAGGACTCGGAAAGTGGGTAGACACTTACACAAAGGTAACTATTGATATGAATTATGATGCGGTGCCAAAGCCCAGAAGTTATGTTGAATATAATGAATGAAATATGAATGGTGAATTGATTAGTTGAAACTTTGGTACAGTACAATAGTGCTTTCTTGAAGGATTATGCAATGGCACACAAGAAAGTATCAGAGCTAGCTAGGCATGAGAGTAACAACATCACGGAAGGGAGGCTCTCAAAATCGTGTGAGATTGGTGCAGGCCTGTAGGGCATCGGGCTTCTTGTTGTCACCACCTCGGTTTCTTCTGGAGCCGAAGAAGCGAGTGAATCCACCAGACCACCACGCATTACTATATGTATATATTACTTATTTCCATCCCAATTATTTGGGCGTCCTTTTTCATCAATGATGTAAACCCTTTTAATAAGATGAGCCTTTGAAATAAAATTTTGCAATATATATGCATGTTTTCTCTTTGTGTGCCGAATATATATCTTGTTATGGCGAATTTATACATTTCAAGTGTCTACCTATTGCTTCTTTGGAGAAATTCTTAGATACTCTCGTTGTGCCAACTCACCTACACTCTGTCTGATTAAAATGTTCCATCTCAAATAATTTTAATCTACCTGTCACCTTACTCATTTCCACTAATTTGTTATTTTAAAAAATAAAGATGTTTGGGATCTTGTGATTCTTTCACTACCCCTCTCTCTCAATTTCTCAATCATACCAGTTGAAGAAATTCAGTCAAATTTACTCCAAAATAAATATTAGTAATTAATTTATTTCAATGGAAGAACAAGGAAATAGCATCACTTCCTTTTTAAGCATGTTATATAATGTCATGTGAATTTATTTGAGGTGAGAAAATGATGCCCAAACATATCCCAGTGGTCTCGGGTAAGTCAAAACCCGAAAAAGTACTTGATTCGATGCAGAATGGCAAGATAGATGAAGGAACGACTAAGGGATGTATTCTGCACGAATTATATATTAATTTTCTCTTTATTTTAATGCCAAAATGATAGATAAATATAGAAGAGACAAGTGTATGGTTAGATGGAAGAGACATATGTACAATTGCAAGACACGTGTATGGTCAGATACATGACACATGTACTGTTGGGTTAAAGGCATGTGGCTTGATGATGTAAGTATGATGTCATGAGGACACTTGTCACTACAAGACAAAGAGAGAAAAATGGATGGCTAAGATTTAATCTTGCAATTTTGAGATCAATAGCCAGGATTTGTTCTTAAACTCTATAAATACCCCCCCCCCCTTTCCCCTCATTTTGTCCAAGCTTAAGGAAACCATAGGTAAACTCTTGCAAAATGGATTCTAGAGAGTGAGAGAGAAGAAGGAGAGAGAAAGGCCAAGTGATCCTATGCAAGATCAAGCTCTAAAACAAGGTATGTTCATAGTTTTTGATATAGTTTCTGAAACATCCTACTTTTAACTCCTCAGAGTGCATATTTGTAAACGTTATGGTTCAAGCAAGTCATGACACAAGCCCATGGATTTAAAATTTCAACATAACTACTCGGATTACTGTTCACTATTTAAATTCAGATTTTAGGTCCAATTTTAAAAAATCATAACTAATTCTGTAAAAATCGTGTCTCTTTGTGTACAAATCTGATTGAGGCGATCTACCTCTCCCTTTAAAGCTTGGGATGTATACTATGAATCTGCCAAATTTTATGGCTTAACTCATTCATTTGATAGGTCAAACTGGAGCTACAAACTCACTGCTCCATGACCTACGTTTTATCCCTTAACCTCTTTTTACTTTAATTCTTTCTATGTCTTTGGCATACATAAATTGGGTTTGCACTTTCCCAATCATTCTCATACATTTCTATTCCTCCCATAAGCATTGTAATTAAATACATGACATTATTGGTATCCATAAAATAAATTACATAATAGGAGAATTACACATTGAATAATAACATCATTCATTAACATTAATAATTCTCCACTTTCTTCTCCTTGCCTCTCATGCTATTATTGCCCACCATTAATTGACCTAAAAAGTTAGTTAGGGAGGGGTGAGATTTGGGAGAATCTCAGTAGCAAACACTACCCATAAGCATGCAAGACATAATGCACATGCATGACATGTTATAACATTAATACATGGATGCCATGGAAAGTAAGCTAAAGCATTTCATACATTCATACATATTGCCAAGGTAAAGCATAACATAAACTTGCAAATATAAATTTGCAAACATTTCATCATAGCTTAGTCACATCATGGCAGCACAACGACATCATGCAAGCATACATATCAAGCACACAATATAGGTAAGTTCACTACCTTGTAACATAGCTTTTCTCTTTCTTTTTCTTTGATTCCCTTGTCTTTCCAACCCTATGGATTTTCGATCAACACCATTAAACATCCTCTTGGATGTTCGCAGATCCTAAACACATCAATACATGATGCAAAATGACTATTAGAATCAAGTTATCAATTTATGTC